CAGATCAGCATGAGAGATCATCTTTGTTGGATTGATAAAGTAAGCAGCCATGTTGAAGAAGCCCACATGGCAAAGAACTTCAGTCAGCTTCTAGAAATTAAAGATGGCTTCTTATACCCGAGGGTTGGCCTCCAATGGACAGCCAGCAAAAATCCAGGGCCCTTGGTGATACTGCTGCAAGGAAATGAATTTTGTCTAAACCTGAATGCATTTAGTAGTGGATCTTTTTCCAGTCAAGTTTATGATGACACTGCAAATGCACATGCAGGTTACGGTGAACCCAGGAGCTCATAAACAACTCTACAAGGTTGTTTTCCCAAGTTGCTCCCTCTCCAAGATATCCCTGGGACTTTGCAGTTCCTTGGAGTTCCCCTTTCAATCCTTTGGCAAGAAATCTGAGGGTTTTTTTTTTTTAAGATTTTATTTATTTATTTGACAGAGAGAAAGATCACAAGTAGGCAGAGAGGCAGGCAGGGTGGGGGAGGGGAGCAGGCTCCCTGCTGAGCAGAGAGCCTGATGCCGGCTCCATCCCAGGACCCTGAGATCATGACCTGAGCCAAAGACAGAGGCTTAACCCACTAAGCCACCCAGGCGCCCCAAAATCCGAGTATTTACTCTCTCTCCCATCCACTTCCTGCAACTTCACCTATGTCTGGAGCCAAGCAGCAGGAGGACCAGAGAGAAAAAACCATACATCAATGGGCATCTGACCTCACTGACTTGGGACCACGACTATTCTAAACCAGAAAGGAAGCCCCCCCCCCCCCCCACCGCTTCCCTCAGCATTTTAGGTCCTCGACGGCGCTACTCCCTCCATTGTTACTGTTGACTCAGCTGCAATGGGGGATTGCCTATTAGCTAGGGTGTGAGAGAATGGAAAAAAGAAAAATTGGTGTACTTTCCTACTCTCTCTGAACCTTAGGAGGTTTATTTTCTGCTTTTCCTGGTGCCTTCCCTGTCCATGTCACTGTCCCCTTCTGGGTTTGGACTGCCTTGAGTTCAGTCCAGTGGCTACTGGAGGGAAAAAATTGTAAACACATTGCCTGTTGTTTTACTTCAAAATCTGGTGCTCTTCCTCAATTTACCTGGTATAATTGATTTTTTTTAGAGTCCTCCAATGGCTGATCCACACATTCTGTCCAGTGGAAGCGAATGGGTTGAGTGTGATCCTTCTGTGTTAAATGGGAGTCAGAATGCTTGCATTGTAAGGCTTGTTTTCATACACAAACATGTATAATAACTGAGCATTTTTTTGGTGTAGATTTGTGAATACTTGGGACACATCTTTTCATATTCTACCTAAGGCAATCACTTTACAGCATAAATATTCTTCTGGTTCTCTCCTGCTATGGAAGAAATCACACTTAAACTTAGTAGCTTAAAGTAATATAAATCACTGTGTTGTTATCTCATAGATTCAGGCATTGATCAGGCTCAGCTGGGTGGTTCTTCTTTGGGAGTGTCTCGCGTGCTTAGCGTAAGATGGTGGCTGGGAATAAAATAATTGGAAGACTCATTCATTCAGGTGCATGGTATTTGGGCTGGGAACACTAAAAAAAAAACCTGCGGCTCCTCTGGTGTTTGTCTCTATGGCTATGTGTGTCTCTGTGGTTTCTCCAGCATGGCAGCTTCAAAGTAGATGGATTTCTTTTTAAGAATGGCTCAGCTTGGGGCGCCTAGGTGGCTCAGCGGGTTAAAGCCTCTGCCTTCAGCTCAGGTCATGATCCCAGGGTCCTGGGATCGAGCCCCGCATCGGCTCTCTGCTTGGCGGGGAGCCTGCTTCCTCCTCTCTCTGCCTGCCTCTATGCCTACTCATTACCTCTGTCTATCAAATAAATAAATAAAATCTTAAAAAAAAAAAGAATAGCTCAGCTTGGGGTGCCTAGGTGGCTCACTGGGTTAAAGCCTCTGCCTTCGGCTCAGGTCATGATCCCAGGGTCCTTGGATTAAGCCCAGCATCAGGGCTCTCTGCTCAGCGGGGAGCCTGCTTCCCCCGCCCCCGCCTGCCTCTCAGCCTACTTGTGATTTCTGTCTGTCAAATAAATAAAATCTTTTAAAAAAAAGACTGGCTCAGCTTTATTGCGATATAATTGACATATAATATGATGTAAGCTTAAGGTATATGCTGTGTTGATTTGATCCTGCAATATGATTAACACCTTAGTGTTAACTGATACCTCCATCATGTCACATAATCACCATTCCTCTCTTTGTGGTGACCTCATTTAAGATCTACTCTCTTAGCAACTTTCAAATATATGGTACAGAATTATTACGCTAATGACAACACTGTGCATTAGAGTCCCAGAATGTATTCGTCTTGTAACTGCAAGTTTGTGTACCAGCACATCCCTATTGCCCTCACCGCTCAGCTCCTGGTAGCCAACATTCTACTCTCTGTTTCTACAAGTTCAGCTGTTTTAGATCCCACATGTAAGTGAGGTCATATGGTATTTGTCTTTCTCTGCCTGACTTATTTCACTGACTTATGGGATCTCGAGATCCATCAATGCTGTTGCAAATGGCAGGATTTCCTTCTTTCTCATGGCTGGATGGCCCATTGTGTGTGTGTGTGTGTGTGTAGCTATATCTATATATCTCAGTCTCTCTCTCTGTATATATGTATATCATATTTTCTTTATCTAGTTATTTGTTGACAGACACTTAAGTTGTTTCCCTACCTTGGCTATTGTGAATAATGCTGCAATAAATATGGGAATGAAGATATATCTTTGAGATCCTGTTTTCACTTTCTTTGGATAAATACCCACAAGTAGAACCTCTGGATCATGTGGTAGTTCTATTTTTAATTTTCTGACGGACCTCCGCACTGTTTTCCATAGTGGCGGTATCAATTTACATTCCCACCAACAGTGCATGAGGGCTCCTTTTTTTCCACAGGCTCGTCCGCATTTGTTGTTTCATGTCTTTCTGACGATAGCCTTTCTAACAGGTGTGATGTGATATCTCACTGTGGTCTAGATTTTTTACATGGCGGCTCAGGGCTCCAAAATGAGTGGACAGCAAGAGTGTGAGAGCGAGTCAGGCAGGAACTAGACTGTCTTTTATGACAGGGTTTCACAAGTTTTGCAGTCTTTATTGCCACATTGTATTCTTTAAGGTAGTCACAAGGGTCCAATGAGGTTCAAGGGGGGCGGGAACACAGATGCCACCCTTTGATGAGGGAGTGGCAAGTTCTGGAAGAACAGGTGCAATTGGAAATATGATTATGGGGAGTTTTTGAAAATACGATCTGCTGTAACTACTAAGAAGTCTGCAGAGAGACATTCTGTCCTAAACTTACAGGAACCCAAGAGCTTGTAATATTAAATATTATGATCAACATCATCAGTTTTCAGCAAACGTGGATTTTAGTAAATCTCCAGAAATTGGATAGTCTTCCTGTTGTATAATTTTCTCTGTGGCTCTCCGGGTTTTTGGTGTTTGCAATTTCATTGGGAACCTGCATGGAGCTTCAAGATATATGGATTTTTGCAAGGGCTGGGGGCAGTCTGGACGAATAGGGAACAACCCTAGCTAAAATCTTGAAGACAGTCCTGTGCTTTAATGAAGGTACTAAGCAGCTTGGCAGAGTGTTCACCTACAGAGGAACCTGGCAGTCTTCAGTGTTGCAAATATCCTTCCTACCCAATGCCATCCCTACCTTATTCTTATTACTCTTTATTCTTTTTAGTTAAGCTCCACTTTCTTCAAGAAATTCTCTTAAAAATGCAAACCCCCTGGGAGAGAAAACATGAACTTTTGGTGTGGATTTCAGAGCAGTTCAATAAACACTTATGAGCACAGCGTTAGGCACTGGGAATCCAGTGATTAAGAATTCCATCACTCCAGGGGTGCCTGGCTGGCTCAGTAGGTAGAACATGCAACTCTCGATGTTGGGGTTATGGGTCCGCGCCCCATGTTGGGTGTAGAGATTACTTAAAAAAATCTTAAAAAAAGAGAATTCAATCTCTTTTATTCCTTGATCATAGGAACAAGGTGGATTGAAAATTCTAGTTCCTGAGGAATTGTTCCAAGAGACTTTATCCTCCAGAGTCCGCTTTATAATTTTTTTTCCCCAGAGCTGTCCCAAGAATCATCCAAAGACTCCCCGGGCTACCATAAGGTCAACATAAAAGGACCACCAATGTAATCTCCACCCTCACCCCCCTGCTGCTCATCTGGGAGGAATGGCAAGTGCTCGGTTCCTTCTGGTTCAACCCTGTTCCCCAAGAGGGCTGGTTACACAGTCCAGAATAAGAAGTCAGTCTATTCCCCAAGTGGTGAAAGAGGTATTTGAACGCTTGCTCCCCATTCCAACCCCTTATCAGTCCTCACTTTGGGACAGATTTAGAGCAGAGGTTTGATGAAGCCTGGTTGAGTCTGGGAAGCCCTGAAAGCTGGAAGGTACTGTGAGAGTTGTGGAAAGAGAGGTGGAGAGGGCAACGTGGCTTCGCGAATCTTCTCTTCCCCCAGGGTGCTCCCCACCCCCTGCCCCTTGACTGGGCTCAGGACAGCCGCACCCTGGCCTGAGACGGACCACTTCGCGGGGGGCCCCAGAGACAGGACCCAAGATCGCACAGCGCGCGAAACCAAGCTGCCGCTCCTGCAAGGCACCGGCGACCTCTGGCGTCGCGTTTAGGAAGCGCGGCGGCGACTGCCCAGGAGTGGCCCCGCGACCCCAGACGGCCTGGCCAGGTACGCCGAGACCCGGTGAGGAGCGCAGGCAGGCCGGGGGCCGACGGCCGCTCCCCTGAGTTGGAGGGCCCCAGCCCACTGTGCTTAGGCCGCGGCGAGAGCGCTCGGCACAGCGCAGCTCGGCGCTGCGGGGTGCCGAACAGGTGCGCGGGCGGGGGGGGCGGTGCTTGGCGATCCTGCGCACTGCGCGCGCCCCTCCCCCACGCGCCTCCCGGCGCAGCCCCGGCCCGGCGCGCGGGGGGGAGGAGCTGCGGCGGCGGCGGCCACTCGGGCAGGTCGGCGGCGCCGCGGGAAGCCGCCGACGGCGCGGGCTGTTGGTCCCCGCGCGCAGGAGGCGCGGGCGGCCCACGGTCCATGGAGCCTGGTGACGCGGCGCGCCTCGGCCCGGGACGGGCGGCTTGGGCGCTGCCACCGCGGCTGCTGCTGCTGCCCCTGCTCCCGCTGCTGCTGGGTCGGGGGCTGCGCGCCGCGGCCTCGGCCTCCTCTGGGGCGGCGGCTGAGGACAGCAGCGCCATGGAGGAGCTCGCCACGGAGAAGGAGGCGGAGGAGAGCCACCGGCAAGACAGCGTGAGCCTGCTCACCTTCATCCTGCTGCTCACGCTCACCATCCTCACCATCTGGCTCTTCAAGCACCGCCGGGTGCGCTTTCTGCACGAGACGGGGCTGGCCATGATCTACGGTGAGCAACCCCCCGCCCCCCCCCCCCCCCACCCCCCCCCGGATGCGCGGCATCCCCCGCCCCCCGGCCACCCCCCCCCCCCCCCACCCCCCCCCCCCCCCCCACCTCCACCCCAGGTCAGCCCAACGGGGTATGTGTGCCGCGGCAGGAGGTGGGTGACTACCCTGGGGACAGAGTCACCCCAAGAGGCAGGCCCCAGTGAGGGTGGGGGCGAGGGCTGAGGGTTTCTGGGTTTGGGTATGGGTGGCCGGGGCCTGAGGGATGCCACACATCCGTGGTTAGCTTGGGGTGAGCGCCCACTTCTGAGAGCTGTGTTCCCGGGTCTCTTTTAACAAAGTCGCAGCCTGAAGTGCCGTGAAAGGTGAGCGTGGTCCAGGATCCAGAGTGGTGCACTGCCATGGTCGGGCCTAGTCGGGTGTATGGGCACACCTCCCACTCTTATGTCCAGGTGGGACGTTGTACCCAGGTACTTGACTTCTCCAAGGAAAGAGGAGATTTTGTGTTCCTGAGATTGTAACATGGACTTGACTTTGAAGATACGTTTATAAGTGGATGAAGAGGAAAAGTAGTGGTATTAACTCTGGGGTCAGCCGTCTTTTGTTGTAAAGGGTGGGCTGATGCCACCATCCTTTTCTGGATTTAATGACACATGCTGTGTTAGGCGCAGAGTGGTCAGCAGAAATCTGCAGTGATTACATGGATGTCAGTTAGCTCTCATCTGAATCATCCCTCCCACCACACCCCACCCCTCATTATGATTCCAAAGGAGAAACAAGTGTTCTCTTTTTGAATTGAATTTAGTGGAGTTAAGGCCCAGGGGGGCATCTTCATGGGAAATAGATGACCCCACCTCTGACTCTTCCCAGTAAAAGAACATTTTACTTCATCACTTTTACTGGAGGGATCTCTCCATGCAATTTCCATTTGGGGTTCCGTGATAAAGCATGGAAAGCTGACACCTGAATCTTTAATGTGAAAATTACCCTTGGCCCTGGGCCTTGCTTCTCAGGGCCCTTGATCAGTCGTTGACAGCCCAGGCTCATGGCCACCAAGGTTACAAAGTGCTGTCAGGAGCCCTCTAATTTTAAAGAGGTAGAGGCCTAAACAGATCTGTCATTGAAACAGGACCAGGTCTAAGACTGAGTTCGGTTGTTGCAAATTACAGACCTGAACTCAAACTTCGGCTTCGATACCTGGCCACTCTTGAGCTCTGCGGTTTGTGTCAGTGGGTGACAAATGACTAATGCCAGGGCCGCAGGTAAGTTAGGAGGTGTACTGCGTAGATAACAGGGTGGGAGCTGAAGCATGTTGTCATTTCAGGTGCTCGACTCTGAGAGATAATGCAAATGAAGATTTGCCCTTCTACGTCTATAGAGAACCATGAACATATTTTTATTTTATAGCCTCTAGATCCAACTCATTAAAGCACAGTGTGAAATATTTCTAGAAGGTAGATTGGACAGGCTCATAAATACATGTTCGAGCACATGGAAAATGAGGATTTAAAAATATTTTTCTTTGAGGGAGTACTCCATGTTTTTAGGAGGTCAGTCACCTTCATCTTAAGGCCTACAAGCAATAGTGGAATTTTCCTCCGCTTATACGTACTTTTTAAACTCATCTCAATCTTTTAGTCATTGGGGCCCTGCTGCAGTGTACCGTGTCATTTTGTGGTACTGAGATCTGGTTCAATTGATGATAGTTCTGAAGAGGCAACATCATCTCATAACATTCTGTGTCATTTTGCTCTGTCTTTGGATTTTCATGTTACTCTGAAATATACTAAGAAATTTAGTTTGTCAATATGCGATGTCCTAGGTTCTGCCAAATACTAATATTTTGATGTGAATATTTAGCCTGTAACTGTGAGAAAACAGTTCTCTGTCTCATGGCTATTTAGTCTTGTGTTTTAGCACACACACGCCCTCCATCGGAATTCTAATGTCATTTGATTATCTAATTATTCATTATTTTCTGAAGGCTCCTGGGATAGGGATTCTGATTTTTAAAAATTCAGTATGAAAGTCTTTGAACGCTTAAGTGAATATAGTACAGATTTTCAGGACTTCTCTTTGTTAATCATAGTGAGAAAACAGATTTCATTTCTTGATATCAGTAGAGGAAGTGAGTAATTGTCCCATTGCCTCTGAGTAATAAAGGACAAAAAGACGTAAGAAAACATTTGTTAAGTATCTGCTGTGTGTCCGGTGCCCAGCTTAATTTCTGGAGGTAATTTTCAAATGTTGGTAAGTTTTTATGAGTGAAAAGTGTTCAACTGCAAGTTTCAGAACTCTTTGAAACTTAAAAAAAATGTTAATTTCTGCCCATTTAAAAATATTTAAGTGGCACTTTAATCTGCAAGGGAAAGCTTTAATATTTATAAGTTATGATAAATAATTATATATTTATATATATCCGTATCAAAATAAATTGTGATTATATGAGTTTGCTGGTATAAAATATTTCTGGAAGGACAGTCAGTAGACTAGTAACGTTGGCTTTTTTTGCTGGAAAGGAAGTAGGTGGCTGTGACGTGAGGTGGGAGGGAAACATCACCGTATATTCTTTTCTGCTTTTCAATTTTTGAATTACGGAAGCCGAATTACCTCTCCGTGTGTTCTTGCCTCCATTCTGTGGCATTTTGATGGCATTTTAAGATGCTCCTCAAATCATCCAGTTTGATGCCCACTTCTCCGCATTTTAAACTATATTGTTATCTGTTTTCTGTGACTTTTTTTTTTTAATGATTATATCCTCCTTTCTGTGACCTTTCAACTGTTGATTGTACCCATGGAACTTCTGGAGCCCTGTGCCTGGAATGCAGACCAAACGGGAAAGGGGAAAGAGATTTCCTTCCTTTCCCTCTCTCCTTTTTATTTCACTATCCCTGACGAACACTAGGAGTGGCGTGCACCGAGAGTTCCCATCTTAAGCCCTTGCTTAGTCTGATGCAGAGGATCCAAGGACAATACCAGACACACTATGAATGCTCAACATTTAACTGGCAGGGGACAATTAGAAGCACTGCTCCCTGACAACAGACACAGGTAGCTGTAAGGGCTGGTGACCACAGACCAGACCCTCCAGGAACGTGAAAGAAGCACCCCCGCCCCCCCGCCCCCCAGGCCCTGTGCTGGGAACTGCGAGAGGCCGTGGACCAGAAGCCAGAACCTGGCACCCGTCTAACCTGTTTTGTCAAGGCAGGGAGCTCCCAGCAATTTGCCCCTGCACGTGACTAAGGGCCCTCTGAAAGTTCCCGGACATGGCAAGTGTTGGAGGCGGGGAAAGGTGGTATCAACGGACTGTGTCCGTTAACTGTGGTTCTTTCTCATGTGGATGCTGGTTCCACTTCCCTTGTACTGTTTGTGACAGCTGATACAGGTCCAAAATATCTAGCTTGGGCCTGGCAGCCCACCACCTGCTTCTCGCTTCCTCCACGCCTATCAACTTTCCAAGTATGTGTTGGTCAGTCCCTCCCCCTCCCCCCCCACCAGGTCCTGTGGACCAGGGGCTCCTCATTGCTTTTCGGAGCTGAATGGCTTAGTGCAGCCTGAAAGGGGTTTACAGGCAAAGTCTGCAAGGGGAAGGAGGACCCTGTGACGTAGCGTACAGTGAATGTTTGAGCCTGTGTGTGAGGGAACATTTCGGAGCCACCCTATTCTTGGCTAATTGGGAGCCCTCGTTTGTTTTTGGTTTTGTTCTTAAGAGCCCTTCACTTTGGCCCCAGTTCGGGGCGGCTCTATATGGTCTCATTTTGGCACCACATCCCTTGGGTTCGGATGCTGCCTCTGTTACTGAAAAAGCTTCATAAGACTGGGTAAGCTCTCTGAGCCCCCGTTTCCTCTTTTCAAAAATGGAGACAGGGTCCTTCACCTCACAGGATTATTGTATTATTGAGATGTTGTAAAGGTCAAGTGCAGTGTCTGATACTTACACACTTGGTCTAGTTCTCATTCCCAGTTCAGACTGTGTGATTCTTTGGCCAGCTTCACTACCTGAGGCTCATTCAGTGGAGACCTGTTGTAGTTTAAAAGTGCATCAGCATTCAGTTAGTGGGGATGAGGGACAATGACTTTTTGGAGGGGGGATGAGCTCTTTGTTAATACCTAGGGAAAATTTACAACATGCCTACTCTACTCTTGTAGCCAGCAGTTTCAATTCTTGGACTTTGTCCTTCAGAAATACCTGCACTATCATGTTACATAGATGGCCATATTTCTTGTCGCAGAAGCAAATGGCAATCCTCAAGAAGGCACTGATTAAGTTACAGCCCATTCCTGCTGAGGAACACTATGCAGCTGGTAAAAAGGAAGTGTTGTGTAGCCACCCACACATACCGTTGTGGGAAAAAACAAGGCACAGAATAGTCTGTATAATATCATCTCATTTATTGTTTAGAAATTATGTAATGTATGCACATAACATTTACATATGATGTGTGCTTCTCTGGAAGCCGGTGCAAACTTACTTAGCCCTGGTTATCCTAAGGTTGTAGAACCAGTTGCTGGGAGAGCGGGAGGGGAGGTGTTACTTTTTTCCCTTTGTACTCTTCTGAGTGGCCTGAAATTTCTATGACACTGACACATTATTTTTGCAATGGGAACTTTGTTTAAAAATAAAGCAAATTGGGGCGCCTGGGTGGCTCAGTGGGTTAAAGCCTCTGCCTTTGTCTCAGTTCGTGATCTCAGGGTACTGGGATAGAGTCCCGCATCGGGCTCTCTGCTCAGCAGGGAGCCTGCTTCCCGTCCCTCCCTGCCTGCCTCTCTGCCTACTCATGATCTCTCTCTGTCAGATAAATAAATAAAATCTTAAAAAAAAATAAAGCAAATAACTTTAATGTAGCAAAAAAACACATTAGAACTAAGAGAACACAGTTATGCAGTTGGTTAGCATTCTCCTTGGATATTGAGATGTTCTTTTTAAAGGAATGTCTAGGTGTAAAGAAAACTTGTAGTTATTTAAAAGTAATAAATGGAAGTAAAATATATCTTAAAATGAGA